GAGCGTCATGGAGAAAATCTACCTATGTGGTCCTTAGGAGTCAAAAGGAGCTTGATGGCACATAATCAATCAATCAATCAATCAATCAATCAATCAATCAATCAATCAGTAAAATTAGCAATTTCTTGGAAGCATGCTTTTTAGGAAGCAACTGAATGTTTGAAAGGCAGTGAGGAGTCCATATGGGCAACGAGCAGCCCTCAGCCCCCATGCAGCTGGTAGAGACCTGTCCCAAAGCCTGCTGCTGCTTTCAGCATCCTTGTCGTGTTCTCATGCTGCTGCTGATGTCATTGTGTTGGCAAGAGGGATAGAGAAAAACAAAACTTCTGACATGCAGTCTTTCTCCTGTAAATTGTTTACATTCTTTTTCACTTAATGAGAAATCAATTTAATAAGAATGAGTTCATGTCTCCCATTTATACACACCCATGGGGACACAGTTAAATATAGGAGCAAAGAGCTGTGCACGTCTGAGGCACAACAACCGTAACAAACCTATATGCCTTAGACCCTGGCTAAGACTCTAAGTTTCATTGTCTTGGGCTGTCCCTTCTTTCTTTGATTTCTGGGAATATGCACCCAGGCAAAACAACCAAATGTTCTTAAATGCGATAACACATTTAAGGTGGTTTGTTATACATCAGATTGTAGGGTGTGGTACCTATTACTGTACTCCACAGCCTGTTCAGGAGATAATTTGCAGTTTGCTTCACCCCAGTAACAATTTGGCATCCCAGAATCCTGCAACAAGGAATCTTTCATAGTTTGCAGAACTCCATTTCTCCTTTCAGCTACACCGTTCTCATGTGGTGAATATGGGGATGATTTACAGTGTTTAATACCCCTTTTCTTTAACCAGCTTTGGAAGTAACCTGCACAAATTCACCCCCCCATCTGACTGTAATTGCCCTACGTTACAGTCAAATCTTCTTTCTACATAAGCTACCCAGTTAGCAAACGTTTTAAACGTTTCGCTCTTGGCTTTCAGTAAATGACAGAAGCCGAATCTAGTGTAGTCATCAACTATTACAAGCACAGACTTCGCCCCTCTTAGGGTTTGTTGCAGAGGCCCTATAAGATCAGCATGCACAAGTTCAAATCTCCTGTTTGTAATTCTTATGCTGTATTTTTGTACTGGGTATGTCTTAGACTTAGACATCCAACACACAGCGCGGTCTAAATACTTATAGCACTGCTGTAATTTTATCCCTTTGCTTATTTCACGCATTTTTGCTATGACTTTAAAACTTGCATGCCCTGATCTTCTATGCAACAAATGTATGCAATTATCATGTGTTGGCTTGTTGCATACAGTGGTCTGTACGTTAACCTGATATTTATCATAGGGTAACAGAATATGTGCTATCCTTCAATATTCCTTGTGCACATACGGCCCCATTCTTTCTAATAGTACATCTATTTTCTGAAAACAACACAGAGTTGTTTTCCCTCTTGTGCTAAACAAGCTACACTTGACAAATTATATTCAAGAGATGGTACAAACAACACCCCTTCAATTGTCCTGTTTAAACTGGGCACAAATACTTGCCCTTCCCCTTGTACTGGTGATTTCTTTCCATCAGCAAGACTGACATGCTTCCGAGCTGCTGGGCGAAGGGAACAAAACATTCCTCTCTGTTTGCAAGATGCCTGCATGCTCCACTGTCAAGAAGCCACGTTTCCCAATTCCTCCTAGTCCAGGAACTGTTTTCACCACAGAAACGTCTGGTCTTCCAGGTCTTGTTATCTGTGCTTTATGCTTCTCTGACCTTCCTTGCTGCTGTGCTGTGCAATTCCTACACAGGCGCTTTGTGGAACCACCTTTTAAAAAAACCGTCTTACAGCATACTCTTTCTCTGTTCTTTCGCTGCAAGTTGGTTCATGTGAGCCTTTCCTCATTGCCTCATTATGGATACAGTCTTGGGCTTCCTCACCTCTCCGTCGTTCCTCCTCCAGTAATGCACAGTGAGATCTTGTTCTGGCATGGATTCCAGAGTGATTATCAGGACATTCCAAGTCTCATTAAGAGAACTTAAGACAATATAGACTTTGTTTGCCTCATCAAAGTCCATCCCTCTTTCCTGTAACTCAACAAACAACGTGCTCATGCTTTGCAAGTGCTTTGCTAGGCTCTCCCCCAGCTGCAAACGTGTTCTGTATGGTTGCCGTGTCAGAGCTATTTTGCTGCCTACAGTCTCATGCACATAAATTCACCACAGTGCATTCCAACATTCAGTGGCAGTAGGCAAACCACAAATGTGCAACAACTGGCTGTCTTCCAGACCCAGAATTAAACATGCACGGGCCTTCTTGGTTCTCAGCTGCCTTTCATCAGGCTGTGCAGGGGGATTTCATCTTTTCCCAATCTGGTACGTCATAATCAAGACACGAAACTTCAAATACCCTAAAATACATGTTAATATCTTGTCATCCTGATACAGGGGGAACTTGGGCTTCTGAATGGCCCTCATCTCC